GTATGTCATAGGTTCACATCCTTCTAGTTGCTGTACGTGGGACTCGGCCTCACGTTGGACGGAGAAGTGGTGCCTCGGGGCGCTCCCGGGATCCGAACCCGGGCCGCCAGCATCAGAGCGCGCGCACTTAACCGCTAAGCCACGGAGCCGGCCCATAAGTAATCTAATTTTTATACCGTGGCTTGGGAGAAAAAAGAGCAGTTGCAAACTGGGGGACTCATGGGCCAGATGTGGCTCACAGATGGAACTGGTTTGCCTTCCAGTGTTTTGAGAGAACAGTGCTCTTCAGGTCCCCCCTGGTCCCCACCATTCACACGACACATACATGCGCACTCACACACTGCCCCCCGCTCTTATCGCTTCTCCTGCCTGGCCCTTAAGGCTTTTGAGTTTGAGACCTCTAAGATAAAAAAAAAAGTCATTAAATATACGAGGCACTGCAGAGAAGAAAGAACCATTTATCTTGGCAAAAGCAGAATGAGATGAAAATTATAGAAAGGTAAACTTAGTTATAAAACCAAGGGGGAAAGTCCTTCCTAGAAAAATTACTGGAATCTGGGTCCGTTTTCTGAAAGGGAAAGTAGCTTTCACAGGGGTCTAGCTCTGGAAAAGAAGGGATTGCGTTTCAGAGCCCTTGGAGATGGCATTGAGCAGGGCTGTTGGTTCTATGGCTCCAGGAACTAAAACTGCAACAGAAAATATGATTACACCAAACAATTGGCTGAAAACCAACATGATTAGAGTCATTACCGATGGCAGACAAAGACAAAGATCATGACAAAAGCTACAAGAGTCACCTTTCCACATGATAGGTCATGCCTGTGTTCTCCACTCCACCCCAAAATCAACAGTAGGAAGGCACACAATGAAGGGTCAGTCAGGAACCGGCTGAAGAGCAAAACAAGGGTATCTTTTCAGGCTTACTTCTCTTTAAAGTTCAAGTTTAAAATAAGGTATTTAAGACCAGTAAATGAGCTTGGCAACAGCAAGGAAAGGACCTTCCAAAGGAGAAGGAAAGGGAAAAGAGAAGCTAAGAGACTCAAAACCTGATGGAGGCTCCAAGCCCCGCCCCCCCATCATCATACCCCATCCCAACCCTCCGTACCCAGCCCTAAATGCAGTTGGCAAAGTAGGACACTTTCACCCCTCAACCTTGGTGTCAGTGATGTATGTGAGCATGGTCCTGCCTGTGGCCAAGAGCCCAACTTCTCCCCCAGATTCAAGGAGAGAGAAGGGAAATGTTCTATAACACCCAAATTCAAGTATGGATATTAAGAGCCAGGACTCGGGAGTCAGACAGACCTAGGTTCGAATCCTGGTTCCAGCACCTATTAGCTCTATGGACCTCAGCAAGTTACCTTATTTCCCTGGGTCTTGTTTTTTCTCATCCATAATTAGGGCATAATGCATTTATCTATCTTATCAGGTTTAAAAATTGGTCTATGTTAAGGCATCCAGTCCAACGCCAGACACCACAGTAGGCACTCAGTGAATGGTGGTAGCTGTTATTTAAAATAATCACCATAATGAACTTGAACATCTGTGAAAGGGAAAGGTGTCCTAGTCAGGCAAATAAAAGGGGAGCCAGTGTCAGATCTCACGTCATAGCTGAATGCCTCCCTGCTTATCTCTGTGCAGTTGAATGGCTTTGTCTGCATCAGCAGAGACTAGGAACCAGTGCCATCAAAACCAATGAAACAAGCATTCTGTAAGTGCCTGCTAGGGGCACAGTGCAGTGACACTGTGCTAGACCTGACAAGAGGTCTTGTCAAAGGTTGGGCCACCATCATGGGAAGTTATAACTGTTACAATCTATCCAAGGTGAGAGATGATTGAAGACTATCTTTCATTGATGCTACATAAGAGAAGAACAGTAACAAATTGTTAGAAATTGCTTCAGCATCGAAAACTGAAATCTCAGCACATTGCCTTATCACAGTGCTGACTGTCCTCCCATACAACCTTCTTTGAGCACTATATGCAGGCACAATGAAAGACAGTCTCTTTTCTCAAGGAGACTAGGATCAGGTGCAGTGGACTCCAAGGTGGAACGCATTCACCCCAGGACTGGGGCCAGACAATTCTCTGGGGTGTGAAATGAAGATATTAGACCATCCATTTTTGTTTTTAAAAAAGTCATCTTTGGGGCTGGCCCAGTGGCCAAGCAGTTAAGTGCGTGCGCTCTGCTGCGGCGGCCTGGAGTTCACCACTTTGGATCCCGGGCACGCACCAATGCACCGCTTGTTGAGCCATGCTTTGGCGGGGTCCCATATAAAGTGGAGGAAGATGGGCACGGATGTTAGCCCAGGGCCAGTCTTCCTCAGCAAAAAGAGGAGGATTGGCA